GCCAGTGATGGCGAACCTATGACACGCGTGTCAGAGGTGACATGCGAACTCATTTTTTTGGTTGATTTTTCTTTGTTAAATAGCATTTAAATATATAAAATAAATATCAAAATTATAAGTCTTTGCTTTACGATGGTTGCAAATATCAAAAAATTCTATATGTGACACGGCATCAGAGTTAAGTTAGGGTTTTTCAAAATGCTGACACACCGAGCTCAAAAGGTTCGCCATCACTGATCTAAACCTTCTCTGACTTGGAGGTGAAAATTGTTATGTTTCTGGGAATTTGAGGTCTGAACCAAGCTTGTGGTTCACAAGCTCACTTCTGCTCAGTTCTCTACACTTCTATCCATCCCTGTACTAGGAAGCCCAGGCAAAACCTGGATTTCCAATTGTGTTTTTCAAAATCATGGGGTTCTGAGTTATTTCCCCTGAGATAGAAGCATTGAGGGAGCGCCTACAGTGCACAACAAGGAGAGAAGAAAGTGGTTGTGATGTTGGAATGAGAAAAGAAGAAAAATGTCAGAAATATGGTGCACAAATTTGAAATGGACAAAAGGACTAGATAGTGTCCTTTCAGTGGGGATCTGGGCATTGTCTGACAGATCCCTTGGGAATATCTGATTTTGTAGGGGCCTGTGCCTTTCACTGTGTTTTGTAAGTTGTAGAACTCGCACAGTAATGCAACTTACTCCTGTCCATAGAGAGAGAAATAAACTTTGTTCTGCAACTGATTTCCGCCGGGTAGAAAAGAGGGTTGAAAAATTACATTTTATTTCCCTAAGGGTGTTGACCAATTGCATATATTCACTAATTCATTTCAGCATTACTGATTGCCTATATATGTGTCTTTTCTCTCAATGTTCTTTAAAAGCCAAGATGGTCTGACCATCTTGCTAGCTTGCTATTCAACAATTTCATAACTTATGCTTAAGGAATGGATTTCCTGCAGAATACAGGAAGTGCTAATTGCACTACATTATTTCTTTTGTAATATACAGAAATCTAAAAGCTGAAGCCATTTAAATAGAATTAGTGCTCTTAATAAAATTCAAATAAAATTCACCTCTACAAGCCATAACTTGAATAACCATTGCACTATAATTAATAAGGGTAGTCCAAAAATGTCACTCTACCAGCTGTTAACAACAAATTCATCTTCTATAAAGACTTATGTAAATATTATAAGTAATAAAATTATCTTATTTGGGTTTTCTCTCTTTTGCCTACTGCCTTCTTATAAAACAGCAACGTGAAGAAAACCTTTGAAACAGAACAAATAAAGAAACACAAATAACTAACATGAGTAAGAAAATTCTGAAAAATCAAGATGTGCCTATAGCAGTCTAAATCAGATATAAAGGTATTAATACAACCATAAGTGATGCCAGAGTTACAAATAAATTAAAAATAAAATTGAAATTTATTTTAAATTAAAAGCCAAATATATTGGAATCTACAATCTCTTTGAATACCAACAACCAACCTTACCATCTCCTTCCGCAGTCCTGAAAACGGCCAACATGTGCTTGCAGAGAAGGCTCAATATATGGCTCATAATTTTTAAAAATGTAGCAAACATTTATTGAGAGTTACTTGATCTGAAACATAGTGATAAGGTATGTGGATTCAGTGTTTGGAGAGGGAGGAGGTGTGTGAATTATCTTTTCAAAGCTTCTAGTTCTGACTTGGGGGGATGATATGCACTTTTTATAGCACAGGATTATGTAGGTGTGCTCCTTCCTTAATGAGCAACATGCTCTGGAAGGGAAGGAGAGGACAGGAATCAGTCTTACAGCTTTCTAAGAAAATGTGTGTTGTGTTGCTACCTGGGAAAAGTGTCATAGTCCCTGCTCACATGGGTGGTCTTCAATCTTTTTATACATGTTCCATGTAAAGTTTCTCTCCTCAGTAACAGCTCTTAAATCACCTTCTTTCTGCAGCAGCTTACTGCGTACTCTCCAAAGCAGCCCTCTCTCCTTCTTTCTTAATGCAGATTGAGTCCATCAGTGATGCCAGATGAGAAGCCAGAAACTTCTAATAATCCTCACCTTAAAATTGACCTGCAACCCCAGCAATTCACACTGTTCTCCCCTCACCCCCATTTCTCCTCTTCAGAAATGAATCCCTTTCCCTGAGAGGTAGTTTCTATTTTTGCCTCCCCACCCATCAATCTCCTCAAAGACTTTCGTAGTTGAATATCAGCCTCCCACATGCCCCTGTTCCATTTACATAGGTTTTTCCTTTCTTTGTTTTTAAACATTTAAAAACATGTCAAATATTCACCAACTT